ACCCTAGATATTGAATGTGTGGAAATCGCTGGAATTGCTATCTTCTCACGTGCTGCATGTGATCTGGGCGGGGGTGCCACCGAAATCTGCGCGGACTTGGTGAAGCGACTGTGCTCACCAAGGAGGCTGAACGCGCTATCGTAGTGTGGGTGAATTCGCTGCGGAAAGATGGTGCCCCTGTCTCCCGTCTCATGCTTCAACTGCAGGCAAAAGAAGCAGCTGCAGACATTGGCCTTGAAGGCAAATTTGCAGCCGCATCAACATGGGTTAAGCTATTTCTTCGTCGCCATAAATTAGCGCTCCGTGCACGTACCAGGCAGGGACAGACGACGCCACAGGATGCTCAACATGCAGCTACGACATTTCGAGCGCTGGAGCTGCAGAATAATCCACTTCAAGAGCGCTACAATTGTCAAATTTACGGAAACCAGTGCGCATGGTGGAATTCTGATTTGTCTCTGAGATTTCTCAAATATCACTTTGCTGAGCGCACGAACCGAGATGACCACATTTTACTCATATGGGACGATTTGAGCGGGCATTGGACCCCTGAAGTTGAAGAATATGCAGCGTCTATTAACGTTATCCTACTTAAAGTACCGCCGCGTTACACGTACGTATGCCAACCGGCAGATATTTCGTGGAATAACCCCCTAAAAACTAGGTTGCGAGGTATATGGATCAACCGGCTGAGAGACCAGTGGATCAACCGGCTGAGAGACCAACTTGTTGCGTATCGAGCCAAGGAGAAGCAGCGCCAGGAGAAAAGGGACAAACTCCAGAGAGATATTATTCGTGTGCGCAAGGATCTAGTGCAAGAGGAAGCAGAGTCTGAAGTTGAGCGACTTCGGATACAGCATACAGAAGAGCCCTTTAAATTGGAGCCCCCAAAAAGAGAAGACATTACGATGTGGATATCAAAATGCTGGAACGAGCTTTCAGAAAAGACAATTGTTAGTGGATTTGCAAAAGTAGGCATATTGGCTGGTACTCGCCGTGCTGAGCAAGATTTTGACTCATATCCGGGACATATTGATAGCGAGCTTGTCCAAGAGCTGGAAAAATGCAATTTAACTGATGGTCATGTCGACTCTGACGATGATATAGAGTCTGAAGCTGGTACCGGTAGTGATAGCGGTAGCGAATGCTAAATACAGTAATTTGCAGTGAATGCTTCGGTAAAACTATGATTTGCATTCATATGTCGGTGCTCACGATTTGCAACCTTTGCTATTGAAGTGACGCCTAGGACTACGATAATTCGGTAATGGCAATTCGCACATCCAATCAGGCTCCCGTAACGTAGAAGAAGCGGGTATTCTGTGTACAGTGCACTAACGACGTCACGAATACCGACGCTGTACGAATCGCGCGCGAAGAAATCCTCAATAGCGGCAGGCATATCTCTCACAGCGATTTTTTTAAGGTGGCCGTCAAGTTGAAGTGGTGCACACAGGCTTTGAAAGAGTTGGACTACTTTGTTCCGTACCAATTTTAGCGATAGTCGGTTAATAACTCGACTTCTCGTGATGCCAAGTATGTTGGTAGATCGAGTTCTACAGACGTGGTCTTAAACTCCCGCATCACCGCTCGTAGAGACCCTGTTGCGCCATAGCCCGTGACTTGATCGTATGGTGTAGCTCCAGCAGCTTCTGAAGCTTGTCAAGCTCACTGGTGAGCACCGAAGAGTCCGACGATAGGCTTTTAGCGAGCTAAAAGCCTTCAGGCGGAGGGAAGTCAGAGCGGACGACTACAGCTTCTTAAGAACGGCGACGAATTGACCTTCCGTCAATTTGACTAATCACAATGACAATTGCGACGAGCAACATGAGCAACATGAGCAACTCCTCTTCGCAATCAGTGTCTTCGACTGTGTAAGCGTCAGTTCTAAAGGCATCGAAACATTGGAGGAATTACTCGCTCGGAAAGAAAAGTAAGAGCCCTTGGGCTTCTAGCTCTTAGGCTGAACCCATCTGGGGCTCTGAAGACTTGCTATTGAAGTGACGCCTAGGACTACGATAATTCGGTAATGGCAATTCGCACATCCAATCAGGCTCCCGTAACGTAGAAGAAGCGGGTATTCTGTGTACAGTGCACTAACGACGTCACGAATACCGACGCTGTACGAATCGCGCGCGAAGAAATCCTCAATAGCGGCAGGCATATCTCTCACAGCGATTTTTTTAAGGTGGCCGTCAAGTTGAAGTGGTGCACACAGGCTTTGAAAGAGTTGGACTACTTTGTTCCGTACCAATTTTAGCGATAGTCGGTTAATAACTCGACTTCTCGTGATGCCAAGTATGTTGGTAGATCGAGTTCTACAGACGTGGTCTTAAACTCCCGCATCACCGCTCGTAGAGACCCTGTTGCGCCATAGCCCGTGACTTGATCGTATGGTGTAGCTCCAGCAGCTTCTGAAGCTTGTCAAGCTCACTGGTGAGCACCGAAGAGTCCGACGATAGGCTTTTAGCGAGCTAAAAGCCTTCAGGCGGAGGGAAGTCAGAGCGGACGACTACAGCTTCTTAAGAACGGCGACGAATTGACCTTCCGTCAATTTGACTAATCACAATGACAATTGCGACGAGCAACATGAGCAACATGAGCAACTCCTCTTCGCAATCAGTGTCTTCGACTGTGTAAGCGTCAGTTCTATAAGCATCGAAACATTGGAGGAATTACTCGCTCGGAAAGAAAAGTAAGAGCCCTTGGGCTTCTAGCTCTTAGGCTGAACCCATCTGGGGCTCTGAAGACTTGCTATTGAAGTGACGCCTAGGACTACGATAATTCGGTAATGGCAATTCGCACATCCAATCAGGCTCCCGTAACGTAGAAGAAGCGGGTATTCTGTGTACAGTGCACTAACGACGTCACGAATACCGACGCTGTACGAATCGCGCGCGAAGAAATCCTCAATAGCGGCAGGCATATCTCTCACAGCGATTTTTTTAAGGTGGCCGTCAAGTTGAAGTGGTGCACACAGGCTTTGAAAGAGTTGGACTACTTTGTTCCGTACCAATTTTAGCGATAGTCGGTTAATAACTCGACTTCTCGTGATGCCAAGTATGTTGGTAGATCGAGTTCTACAGACGTGGTCTTAAACTCCCGCATCACCGCTCGTAGAGACCCTGTTGCGCCATAGCCCGTGACTTGATCGTATGGTGTAGCTCCAGCAGCTTCTGAAGCTTGTCAAGCTCACTGGTGAGCACCGAAGAGTCCGACGATAGGCTTTAAGCGAGCTAAAAGCCTTCAGGCGGAGGGAAGTCAGAGCGGACGACTACAGCTTCTTAAGAACGGCGACGAATTGACCTTCCGTCAATTTGACTAATCACAACGACAATTGCGACGAGCAACATGAGCAACATGAGCAACTCCTCTTCGCAATCAGTGTCTTCGACTGTGTAAGCGTCAGTTCTATAAGCATCGAAACATTGGAGGAATTACTCGCTCGGAAAGAAAAGTAAGAGCCCTTGGGCTTCTAGCTCTTAGGCTGAACCCATCTGGGGCTCTGAAGACGCACGTACCTCACTGTCAGCTTACGATGCCGCTGTCTTGGTATTAGCTCGTACAACGTCGTCCCGAACGGGGACGCCCTCCATGCTTGGCGCTCCCGGTCTAAGCTGCCGTTCGCGTGGATCAAATAAATAGGTTATGTTTTAAATAAACAGGTGTGGCACAAACCCCTTTCTACCACTTTAAAATCAGGTGATTTGGGACCCTTTTTTCTTCGTGCAACACTTCAAAAATAAACATCGGTTGAAATAAACGAGCTCATCGCTCTTACGGCCAAAGGTTGCACGGTACGGTTGTACGAGCGGTAATTCACTTGACAAAAGACATGGTAAGTTTACTAGTTTAGTGTTGCTCAGGCTCGAGATTGTCAGCAACATGTGCAAATACATCGAATGGTGCAAGCGGGCAAGTATTATGTACATTATTCCTACTTTGTCTCGGAACGCAAAATAAATGACCTACATATCCGCATTTAGGGACAAAGGTATATTACGATGTATCAGGTTATGGTTAAAAACTTATGAGATGTAATCACTTCGGAAGAGACTCTTCCCCGGCCGAATATTTCAAGCGGGCAACGATTCCAATACCGTAAAATCTACTGACTAACCGTAAGAGAAAGCACTCCTTGGCCTTTTGTCACAGCCCCAGGCGCCAACTGCTACGGTCTTATTTCTATGTCACAGTTACACGTGTACGCGCAATGCTGCACTTGTTTCTAATGTTACCTCTTTCACTTGAGTGCCACCCCCTCTGCGGCCGCGTTGACAGAAACACAACGCCTTCACGCCTAGAAATTGCCTGGATTTTGCCCGCGCGGCCATTTAATTACGTCATCTCCGATTGAAATTATTCGTACCCTGCGCGACTTTGTAGTCCATAACCACAAAGCCGCGACAAGGCGCAGAACAGCTCTTAATTTTGTCGGCAACAAATAAGAAACAAATGCGCTATTTTAGCTATCACAGTGCGGATGATGTGAGAGACCAGCAAACATAATAGAACAGGCAAAATACGTCTATATGTTAAACGTTTTAATGTGCAGTAGATAATATAGAGCTTGTATCAGTAGAGGTGTGTAATTTAAGATTTTTTCTTACAACTTAAAAAAATTGGACCAAAATATAAAATCGCGCAGGAGCCCCTTTGCCCATACGGCATTTCGCATGTAGAGTGCTACGCCCAAGTCATAGGTTTACGTTTACCACTTTAAACATGCCCCAAAAATGTAAAGGCCAAATATTGGGTACAAGTGACCATATATTTGATTAGACTAATGCTTCGTCTACGATATCGTCCAGCATGAAGGCTTGGCTCGTATCTACAGGCCTTCCTTCCAAGAGCTTAAGGATTTCGAGCTCTGAAATCAACTCTGCAGCCGCAATGCATTTCTCGCTCGAGGATCCCGCTCGCTCTAAAGCCATTTGCTATCGTCTCCAAGGGAAGGTCGTCCCACGCTTGCTGAACCCAGCTGCGTATCATGGCGCGATCTGGCCGCTTGATCTTGGCCGTCTTGTCCGCCGCCTTTTGCTGCTTAATTTGTTTCTCATATCATCGTGCCAGTGCTGGAGTAGGCGTGATTTTAGCGGAAAATGCCACACCACGTCTGCAGGCTGAGAGACTGGGGTGGCGTGGGGTGGAACTTTCAGTAGAATCACAGAAATAGAGGCCACGTAGGCCTCGACACTCTGCGCAACAGTAGCATCAAGTTTCTTGCGCGCGCGCTTCTAGCGAGATTAGGATAAAAGTGGCTTACTGTTAGACGGATCTTTTAACTCTTTGCAAGGTGGTATAAGACAGCTAGCTTCTTGTGCACACGCTCTGATGTCAATTGGTACTGCTTTACGTGTCTGGTGACACCGCGGAGTCTTGGTCTTGCTTGTGGGCGCCTGTGCGCCATTGCAGATCTAGTGGAAGGGGAGCTGTTACCTTATAGGTCAAATATACCGATATACCGGGATTTTAGGCTGTATTTCTCTACATGCGATTTCATGTGGTTTTGAGCTCGGTTTGTGATTGGTGGATTCTGGTTTGTATCCCTAAACCGCTGTAACGCTCTACATGCGAAATGCGGTTCGCAAACGCGCACCTAGAAAGTACAGATCCTACACCATTGCCCGGCCAAGCTGAGAATAGTTTCAACCAAAACGATACTGTATTTTTTTCGGTTTCCCAAAAATGTAGTTAGCAGCCAAAAATCAAGGTCCAAAGTGATATTGATTTCATGCAAAGCGAACAGACAGAGCCGAGGGTCCCAAGCTCGACTAGCACTATCAGCCTACTTTCCGTAGACCATGTCGACCATGTTCTCGGCAGCGTTCACGGAGTCGCGGGCGTGTAGCTCCATGTTCGAGACGATGGCGGGAGTGATGTACTTGATGCTGCCGCGGACAGCCCTTTCCAGAAAGCGCATCGTGCGCTCCTTCACGGTCAGGATGCTGCCGTCGGCGTCGGTCATGTCGCTGCGATCGCAAATTTCCGAGCGATCCAAGGCGAGGTGGTCCTTGATGTGCGACTTCAGGACGGAGAAGCAACCCTCAATGGGGTTGCACATCGGCGAGTAGGGGGCTAGACGCAGCAGCTCCAGGTCGGCGTGGGACGCCACGCGCTCCTCCGTCTGGCGATGGGCGGGGGCGTTGTCCAAGACGACAACGATCGTCTTCCCAGCGTAGTTCTCGCGGAAGTACTGGGACGCTTTGACCGTCGCGTATATCTCGTCGATGAAGTCCGCGTTCTGCTCCATCCGAATGCCACCTCTCTCGAGGCGATGCAAAACGACACCAACGGCCGAGTTCACAGCGCACTGGACTTGCAAGTTCGCACCCTTGGACGGCGGCAGAACAACCGTAGCTCGGTCACTCTCTTCGCGCGCCCTCGGCCGCGCTTACAGTACACATTAAGGTTAGTTTTATCGAAGTACACAATGAAGTTTACCTTGGGCGCTGGTGCTGCTTCAACTTGATTCGCAAAACTCCCTTACGCTTCGTCTTGTTCGTGATGCTGTTGCAGTGTTTCGGCTCCACACGCGGTTTGTCTTCCCGCGGTAACAACATCCCCCCAACATGAACGGTTTTTTTTTTGCCTGGGAGTGGAGATGCCCACGGCCAAGTCCAGCACGAGCATGCGGCGCATGGTCTCCATGGTGAACGTGCAGTTCTCGTTCAAGTACTCCTCCAACTGCTCTTTCACCAGCGGCGTAACCTTGGTTGAGCCAAGACGAGCGCCACCACGGGGGAGATTGTTGACACGGCCGGTGTCAACGATGCGGTACGCAAAGGCCCGGGAGATGCCGTTGTTCTTGGCTACCGTTAGCCAGTCGGTCCTTCCAGCGCGGCAGGCGTCGAGGACACGAAGTTTCTCGGCCGCGGAGTGCTTGGGGAGGGAGGCTTGGGAGGGCATCTTTGCTGGACAAGGCAGGATTAGAAGTGAGCTCCTGGAGCGCGCCCTCGAGCCGAGGCTTCGCGCCAAGATTTCGCGCGCGCGCGAACACGTCGAATTTTGGCTGCACGTCGGCTGGATCGCTTTGCATGAAATCAATCTCGCTTTGGACCTTGATTTTTGGCTGCTAACTATATTTTTGGGAAACCGGAAAAAATACAGTATCGTTTTGGTTGAAACTATTCTCAACTTGGCCGGGCAATGGGTGTAGCCGTGCACTTTATGGGCGTGCGTTTGCGTATAGTATGAGCAAAGGCCTCCTGATCGATTTTATAAATTTGGTCACAAAAATTTACACAATATTTTACGCAAATGCTGGGCCCTTATTTTCTAGCTGCTAGAAAGTCTCCAATTCGACCGCAGAAAACATAAATGGTGGCAGAGTTGGTGGGGGTCTTCCAGCGCTGGTTGCCAGCTGAGAGAGTGCGTACTGCCAGAAGGTACGACTTTTCATCGGTCACTTAATTACAAGGCCTTACAGCAGATTGTGCTTCGCCGGTGTACATCATGGCGTGCTGCATCTGTGTTAACCTGTACATTAAATTACTACAGTACGCATGATCATTTCTAATTATTATTAAAAAGTCTCTCTGCTCCCACCACAGGCCTTTCCGCCTCTTCAAAGTTTGTCCCCAGTACTCTCAGATAATCTACATGCGCCCGTAGCAGACGATAGCTCGTATTAGTTTACTCTGTCGCATTAGCAACGGAGACTGCTCTTTTCAGACACCTTTCTGCCCACTCATTTTGCCATTAGTGTATTTCACATGAACGACATCTTCGGCCACTCCAGCTTTAATGTGATAGTCCCAGCTACATTCGCGTCCACTGTAGCGTCGTTTTAATCTAGAGAAGGTGTTGGCTGCCAATATCGGTCGTCAATGACGGGTATTAATAACTTACCATGCTGTGACAGCACTGCTTCCCAATAGGACGAGACTTCTTCTAACTGCCCAGTTGGGGGCATGCATTCAGCCTCTATGCCTACGTCGCACACTGCATTTCTCCTGCGCGATACAGTGCTTGCCTGGTCTTCTTCGACGGTATAAGGTTTTCGCTCAGGCGCATGAAAGGTCTGTTAAAAACATCTGGCTGCACTAGTATGATATCAATAGAGAAAATTGAAGGAGTAATATCGATGACTAATGCTCAATAGTAATATGAGAGCTCTCATATTACAAGCCTATCGCTTCCAGAAGCAGTGAGGAGGCACCCACACAAGCTGTAGATGTGGAGCACTCAAGAGATCGTTTTTAGCATGGAAGGATCTTGAGCTTTCTGGTAAATGACAGCCTTCGTGGTGACGCACGAGCAAGCTAATATTTAAACTGAATTTGGGGCCTCGCGTTACTAAAAACAAAATGATATAAGCTGTGTATTACCTTTCCCCTATTTTTTTGATATTGGCGTCTGAATAAGTCAACCTACCTGCGCTATAAGTTTTGTGCAATGGAAGCTTTTTATGTAAGACTGTTTTAGCTAAGCAATCAAACGATACAAAAACCGTTAAGACAGGATAGACTCTGGATAAAATCCAGATAATTTACGGACCCCTGGAAATAACTGGAATAATCTCCGGATTGCCAAGAATAGATTTCCGTGTGGATGTTTAAGATGCTAATACTTGTTAATAACTCCAGTGGAGTTATGAAGGGTCGATCTATTTTTAAAGCAAACGCTTCGTAACCCTCACTTAGCTCTATGACCCAAGAAACTACAGTTTCTATAATAACATTTCAGAGAGCTATGAATAAGTCAATTCTTCGGGCAGGTTTGAATCCACCGCGATTTTTTATCACGAACTGCCGACAGTTTGCAAAATCGTCTTGCTCGGCGATAATAGAATTTTATTATCCCGGTCACCAAAGCTTGGACGAACTTTGAGACACAAAGTTACCCCTTTCCCTACATAAAACCCATATCAACATTTAGATATAAGGGGTAAGAACGGGCGTATATTCCGATTTTGATGTCCGTTTTTACGTATAATCAAGGCTTCCTATTCATTTTAGCCGTTTACAAAGTCATCTTTTTAATGCAGAATTGTTTGCATGATTAAGACTGCCACGTGCACCAAATCAGCGAGTCTATTGGTCAAATCAAGATAACATGTGGCGATTTGAGTCTGAATAGAAAAGTTATCGCAATTTGGCGATTGTTAAAAAGAATATAATCGTGTTATAATAAACTTGCGTATGGAATATACAATCGGTAAAAAAACGGGCAAGCGAAAACTCATTCAGAGTCACTTCCTTCGTCATCTTCTGCACACTTGCCCTTAATAAAGCGCATCCCCATCCTCCGCAAAACACGGCGAAGGGAACGAACAGAAATGTTGATGTTGTGCTCTTCCTTTAGGCGCTTCACTAACTTTGGGGCTGCAACAGGCTTGCCACTTGAGTTCAGTTCAGACACGAGTTCACGTACGAGCGGCTGTATGCTTTCACCGAACGTTCGAAGCCTACCAGATGGTTTTGAACCTTTCATCTGTCATAAATCATATTACGACCAGTGAAATTGTTAAGTATAAATAATAACAGAAACGCCACAAACCACCACTCACCGACGCAAACTTCTAGTCGTGGTTCTTCTCCCAATGGCTCCATATCCCTGAAACCGTGCCCGTCGCGAAGCCCAAACACTCGTGAACGTGATCCCTTACATCCCCCTTCCACAGCTGTGGCGAAGCAGCCTTTTTTCCTCGGATGTATTCGTACGTCTTTACCACCAAATATTTTTCAGCTGCAGTTAATTTCTTACCGGCGACCATTTGCTCAATAATGCTCCGCTGTCGAGCCTATGAAGCTGGGAAATGCATATTTAGACTCAAGGCTGTCGAATGCAGTTTCCTAGAGCTAATTCGAGTGACCGAGTATCGAGAAATACGCATCTATATTTAGGTCACATATATTACTGTTTTCCGTCCAGGCCTTTATGGCCGGGATAATAATGCGTTTGGCACCGCACGACAAAAATCGCAAAGACCAAATGATCATGATCGTTGCCTTCTTTGCAATCCAGTGGTTCCAAACGAGCAGTGATCTTTCAGATTTCCAGCTCCCCATGAGTGAAGACTCTGTTGCTCAGCTAGAGGATGCGTCTGACGAAGATGAATACGTCGTCCGGGTATTAGCTCTTGTCGCCGGATACTATGGGCACACGTACTTTGACAAGCAGCCTCTCCGCAACTCAATCACGACGGGGTCTGATTGGGTAGCTGAGCTCATCGAAGGAAACCAAAAACGCATAATTCGAAAGTACCGCATGACGTAGCCCGTGTTCAGGCACTTTGCGCTGCTCTTGACAACGCGGATCGACAGACGCCTTGGTCCCACGACTGTGTAGGAAAGAAGGCAGTAATATTTGTTTACACCATTGCAAAGAATGCCTCAAACAGCGATCTTCAAGAGCGCTTTCAGCATAGCGGAGAAACAATTCATCGGTGCGTCTTCAAGCTGTGATTACGTATGTGTTTTGACTAACCCAATAACATAACTTAAGCAGGCATTTTTATTGAGTTCTTGATGTTGTCGGTAGCATGGCAAGCACGTATCTCGTCCAACCAGTCACCCCATCACAGCTTCAACAAAACGATCCAAAATATGCTGGTCAGCTCGATCAATGCCGCCTCGCCTTTGATGGCACGCACATTCCTGCCTACGTACCGAGCGAGAAAGCAAAACCATATCGTGATAGGACTGGAAGCTCAGTCAGAACGTGTTCGCTGCGTGTACGTTCGACATGCAGTTCGTCTACGTGCTGTCAGATTGGGAAGGAGCGTATAGTATTTTCGTATCTTACACCTAACGCATGAGCTAATATACTCTTTACAGGTTCTGCAGCAGATTCAATGGTGCTTGTCGACGCAAGGCGAAAGGGATTTAAGACCCCGCCGGACTTGTTTGACCTCGATGATGCTGGATATGGTCTAGCCACAGAGGTTATGACTCCGTATCGTGGTGCTCGCTATCATTTGAAGGAGTGGAGACAAACATACGAAAGGTAAGTCTAAGATCTCTCTAGAATCTGCTAGCATTATAACGCTATATTGTGCAGGCCTCAGAAAGATAAGGAATTGTAAAACTACGACACGCGCAAGCTCGCAATGTCATCGAAAGGGCTTTTGACGTGTTGAAACGGAGATTTCCTATCTTAAAGCAAGCTCATAAATATTCAGTAGAAAGAAAGGCAAAAAAACATTTCGAGCATGCTGTGTGCTCCACAATTCTATCAGGCTATAGGAGGATGTATCTGATGACGAGCTAGAGAAAGAAGATTCTGACAATGAGAGTCCAGATGCCTACTACCCTGAAAGAAATCTCACTGAAAGCTATCGGCGAGCGAGTAATCTTCGTGATCTACTAGCAAAGAACATGTGGGATTCGTATGTAGGTTTTCATCATTAACCAGTTAGCATGCACCAAATGAGCTCGTGCTCTCGACATCCAGCTCTTACTAAGCATCTTGAAGCTGCTTATTCAGCCCATGCATCCCGGGCTGGTCCAGCTTCCATTATCAAAACCTCCATTGCTTTTCTTTTCGTAGAGCATCACGTCGAAAGCACGAACGAGATATTACGTTTGAATGTCGATGTCATAGTCCTTCTGCAGCAACTTGATGGCTCTCTGCGATGATGACAGAGGTCTCATCTAAGTAATTATATGACGCATTTCCGTAGCAACCTCACTAATTGCTTTAGCAATTAGTATACCGCCGCTTTCGCTGCGCCTTTTCTTGGTAGCTGTACCGCTTTCTGCCATGTGGGCAACAGCGATCCTTGGTTCTGGTGGAGGCTCCGATAGCTAAAATGCCACGGCTTAATCGGAGCTTGTAGCTTCGTCGAGAGCTGCAGGCTAAGAGGACGTTGGTGTTTGCGTTAGCTGCGGAGCAGATGGACCTTTAACAATGTCCCCTGGGAAGTGATCTTCAGAAGCTAATGCATAGTCTCCCGGGCACGGCTCTTCATAGGCTAATGCATCTCCCGTAGCATATGTTCCCTCAAAAAGGTCAAGAAGGTCGTCAAACAATGGCATGGGCTTCCTACGGTAATCGACAACTTTCGGATGGCTCTATTCGCAGTAAACGTTAGGTTAAGGCATTTTATCGATGCTCGTAGTGAGCAATAGATGTATCTCCACGTAATCATTTCAAACAGAATCATGCACTAGCACGATATGACGTTGATTATCCCAGCCAAATCCCGACGCGTCCAGCATTGCCTTGATCGCCGTATAGATGCCTTTCAGCTGTAGTTAAACGCAAATGTCTTGGTTAGATCCTGCTAAATAAATACTGTGAGCGCTGTACATACAGCTGTCAGTATGGATTTATTCTGCTGCCTCGACAGCTTCGTCTGGAAAGGGGCGTTGAACGCAGCGAGTGCTTCGGCCCACGCTTCCTTCATGAAGCCGCTGTCAGCTCTCTTCCCTGCTTGCGCTTGCTGCGTCATGGTAGCTCTACCAGGAAGGCATTTTTCGCACTGTCCCAAGACGCGCGCTCCTGATCTTCAGATCCCATGTTTAGCGCCTCCCCCCCCACCACCACCACCAGGTAAATCGCGATAAAAGTTCCTAGTCAGAGTAGAAACTTTAAAATCGCGATCAATTGCCTAAAATACGATCTTTTGTGCAGCGTTTGGAAACACCATATTTGCACCAAATTGCAATTTCATAATTATAATCGTGAACATGTTTGGAATCGCCATTTTTCGAGAATTCACGATCAGCCGAAAATCGCGATTTAAGGCCTTAAATCGTGAGTTATTTTTGGATCCAAATACCGCCTTACAAAAGGTCGTAAAAAGCCATAACTGTGTCGCCTAGTTTTTTCTTATGGAAGATTTTGCAGAGGCAATGTGACGGGGTCACACAGCACCTTGCGCGAGAGGAAGTTATCTTCCGAGAGTATACAAACTCTCAGAGAACGGCAGCTCACAGGTCCCCTCTTTATTTAAAGAGAGCGAAGTGACCTAAATAAGGTAGATTGTAAACTGAGTGTAGGTTAAGTTTGGGTTTAATACAAACTAAAAGTTACCTTTAGTAATGCAATGTCGTTTGACCAATGGTTGGCTTTGAACGACCTTGGTACCTCGTACCAAATATCCCGGTGCATGACGTGTCATACACCTGAAGTGTGAAGTGTCACACTTCATGTAACCCCGTTACATCCTCCCCCACTTAGGTTCGGTTTACCGACCAATCAGAATGAAGAGGTGTTCGTCACAAACTCTCATTCTCAAAGTCGAAAACCATCGACTTGGCCGCGCGAGCGCGGCGGAGGCTCACTTCACAGTTAGAGCCTCGAGCAGCAATCTGTGCGCTTTTCGTCTAGGTCTCCAATTCGACCGTTACGATGCCTCGTGGCACTGCAAAGAGCGGTGCAAAGACACGTTCCAAGGCTGCTGCCGGTAAGGCGCAAGCCAAGAGCACTAAGCCTCACGGCAAATGCTCGGCACTCAAGGAGGCTACTCAGGTGGCCTCTGAGGCGATAGGTTCCTCGGGTGACGCGGCTGTGGGCAAGCAAGCAAGCGCCGCAGCTTGTCGCCCTCGGCCTCAGCCTCTCCAGACAATCGTCCGAACCCTCGGTTCGTAGAACGTGAGTTCGACTCTGGCAGTGAGGGCGAAGTCGAGTCCGAGAGCACGCAAGATGCTCCTGCGAGCTCTGCAGAAGGGCACAGTCCATTGCCTAGTGAGCACAAGGATGACAGCGTGCAGGCGCTCGCTAGTGATCACAGTCCCAGGACGTCTGTGCGCTCTGAGAGTCCGGCCGTAAAGGCTAAGGGCACTCCCAAAGCCGGTGGAGATGAGAAAGAGATTCCTCGCAAACGTCTCTCGCTTGCCGAGGGTCTTGCGCGTGCTAAGGCCTCCAAAGCCGAAGGCGCCAAGCCCTCAAAGAAGCGTACAGCATCTAAGTCTCCACTCCGCGAGGAGAAGGAGACTCAACACTCCTATCAGAGTATCTTCGACTCCTCGGATGAAGAGGAGGAGAAGGAGGAAGAAGAGGAGGAGGAGGGTGCTATCGTTGAGCCCCGCGAGGTCTCGAATGACCTCGACCAGCAGCAGGAGGAATTCCAAGCTGCCCAGCGTGTGCGTGGGGGTTCGGTGGTGGCACCCGTCAGCCAGGGAGCTGCCATCAACTCAAGAGGGTATTGGCCTCCCGAGGAGAGCTCTGGGGCTGACCTCTTTTTAGAGGTTCTCGTCGCTCCTCGTGGCCTTGTGGGCGGCCACACTTCTAGGGGCATCTACGAACGGGCCCTTGTTCAGAAAGAATAGTTGCTCGTTGACAATATACAGGCTGCTCGGTGTGTGCTTCTCGCGCCATACCGCATCCCTCTCAAGGACTTAACGACTTGTCGTAAGAAGCCCGACACCCGGGGTGGTCTCTATCCTCTTTGGGGATACCCCTGGGTTATGCCCGAGAACTGTCTCACGTGAAGTTCTTGTGAGGACATGTTCTGGGCATGGGTGGAGTCTCTTAAGTACTCACCCACGGCGTTACGGGAACTCCGTGAAGATCAGCTGCTGTCCCGCATCCTGGACCAGCATGATCTTCGTGGGAGGTTTGCCCACTTGATCAGCAAGCGCATGCTGCCAAGGGACATCCTGAAGCGCGCGGCTTCTAGCGCTCACGATGAGCGCGGGTACGGAATGTATTCATCGTCCGTACGCCGTTCGGGCAAGAAGCCCCGGACTACTTATGAAGCTGCCGCCGCTTCTGTTCCCAGATTGCGACAGCCTTCGGGCAGTCAATCAGGAGCCGTTCAATCGGCTCCCACGAGCTCTCGGAGTGGGCATAACCCCTCCACTTCACGAGGAGCTGTCGCTTACCGCGACGCCGTTGCTCCTGGAGGATCCGCTCCACGTGGAAGTGGACTTCTCCATTCCGGTCAAGCAGGGGCGGAGGTGCCCTCGCACGAGTACGAGTACTCGGCGCCTCCCGAAAGCCACTCTCGTCCGAGTGCTCCGACTACGGGTCCGACACAGGGCCCTGAGGTTGACCGCCTCCGTCAACGTGTCCTCGTGCTTGAGATTGCACTTGGCCTTGGGACTGGCGGTGATGCTGCCGCCCAGGACGGGAATCAGAGCGAGCTCGCTCGTCTTGCGGGCCGCCTGGACCTGTTGGAGCGAGAGGTCGCGAGCCTGCACCTGCGGGTGGATCGCCGGGCCTCTTCGTCCGATCTGGACGAGCCTTTCGCATGATCCGACGGATCGAGGCTTTGTTGCCACGTCCGGAGCCGCCTACGGCACCTCCCAGGGTGCGTAACCGGCATACACAGCGTACTCGGCGTATGGCGCCGGGGTCTGTTCGTATGGAGCCCCTCCGGCGTACGGTCTTGACCGCAGCCTTGCCGTCCCTACCGAGGCTTGGGTGCCTGCTCCGACGCCCTGTGACCGGCCCTCGCTTCCAGGAGCTGGGTCAAGAGGGGTCTGCGAGTCAGCAACCCCCTGCGGGTCAAAGGACCGCTTAAGACGTCCAACATAGAACGTCGGGTGCGTCGTCATTGACTTTGGCAGGTCGATGGTGTACGACGCACCATGTTTGGCCAGGACTGCAAATGGTTCGATGAAGCGGTGCTTCAGCTTGTTGCTGCCGACAGAGCTGACGGTGTCAAGAGGTAGGTTCCTCGTGTCTAGCAACACTAAGTCCCCAACCTCAAATATACTTAAGTTTCCTCTTCCGCGTTTGTCCGAGCACTCCTTTTGTTTATCTGGGGCCGCTGCCATGGCATCGCGGACCCTGCTGACAATGCTCAGCTTGGTATCCATAAAGGATTCCACCTGTTTCCGCAGCGAAACTGGTCTCACATCCGAAACCTGGGAGGAAAGGGCTTTCCGAGCCTCTCCCCCACTTAGAATAGAGGGGTCAGTGTCTCCTCGAAGAGTGAGAGGCACTCTGGGGTGGCGGAAGCCGTTCAAGTAGAACGGCGTGAACCCCGTGGACGCGTGCACCGCGTTGTTGAGCGCAAACTCAACAGCTGGAAGCTGCGTCGACCACGTACGTGGTGATGCCGCGCACACACTGCGCAGAGTGTCCTCGAGCACTCGATTGACGCGCTCTGTTTGGCCGTCTGTCTGCGGATGGTCCGCAGTGGACATCTGCAGACGAGTTCCCAGTAAAGAAGGCGTCTCGTCCAGCTTCGGCATACCAGTAAAACCGGTTTCCAAGGACCCCGCGATGTTTACGGTAAGTCAATAGCGCAAACGGATGTATGCGCAAACAGATGATTGGACGAACAGGATGATTGGACGAGTCCAGAGTGTTGGTGATTGGATGCACCACATGATTGGATGCAGACTAG